GCCATCGGATGGTGGTCGGTGTGTGATGTAATAAGCTCGGTTAAGGTAATCTCCGTCACTCTTCCTTTTGTTTCTTACAATCTTATATTTTATTCTCAAGCATAGTACATAGTTGTTTCAATGACATCAAGTTGTTAAGATATTGGTTTTATTGTTATGTTGATTTTATTTTGAAATTTATCTTATTATAATAAAGACCACCTATAAGTAATCTTTTGCCAAAAGAAAGGGATAAATTTTTTTTTTATAGTAAAGATCACAGTCACCTTAGCCATCGGATGTGAATTTAACAGCTGCAGTGTACCCTTGACATTATTGAAATATAATAAATTTTTTTTTTATCTTGTTTAGAAAAATGGCACACTGCAGCTATCCGATTTTATATTGAATAGTCAGGATTTTTGTAAGCTTTGTATATGGAAGGCAATTATCTCATTGCATTTCATCCTATTTGCAAAATCTAAAACCACGAAAATGGATTTGTTGAATGGTTCTAGTGACAGACTACAATTCGAACTTATTTTGTGTAGCCAATATTATACTTCAATGTGAGTACTATTCGTATAAATTATTTGTCCATGTTGACATTTGGTGATCACTTCAAATCAATGGCTCCAATAGGCAATAATATGAGAGAAAGTATACTTAAGTAGGTTGATTATATGCAGAGAGACTTAGTACATAGTTTGTTAAGAGGTGTGAGTTGGTTTTAGTGGAAGGCTCAAAAAGGGGAAGAGGCAGACCCAAAATGACATAGTTGGAAGCATGAAAAAAATATATGAGGACTGATGGCCTCATTGAGAGTATGACCCTTGATATAGTCGAATGGCAGACTAGAATTTGTGTAACCAATCCCAAATAGTTGGGAAAAGGTTTTGATTATGATCTAATAACACAATATCATGAACAATTTACGTTGAATATTAAGTTATATTTTTTTGAATAAATATATACAATGAGACCATTTAATTTGAATATAAGAAAGTCACAATCATTGTTGACCATTAGATGAGAAATCAATAGTGGATATATAGAAAAAATAATTTCAAGGAAAAAAAATAATGCATTTTGTAACAAGTTATTTGAACCGTCTATTTTCAAGATTTTCAAATATTTGTGTATTTGCTGGATTTGTTCTATTTTTAGAATTTTAAATTTCATAATTAGTGTTGAACACGGATTTTAAAGTCATCAAAAGATTTTCAATACCAAAACTACATCTACTGGAAATATTTTGAGATGTGCCTTACTTGTCTTATATAAGATGTGCACCATAGTTAGCAAGTTAGGGAATAACAATAAATAGGCATATACCAAAACATACATACAATAAATCGGTTTTGCTCCAAAAAGTCGGAGGTCTAAAATCGAGTAAAAAATACCCATGACAAAAAACTAGGAAAGTTACGGATTCGTGAATATTATGGATTTGGCCAAAAAAAAAAGATGTGAAAATTTTGGAAATGTAAAGATTGTTGGGTTTATGTGGCTTTTAAAGGCCTTATGAGTGCTTGTAAAATGAAATGATACAGTGGAACATGAACTCAGTGGGAGTGTGGTCCCTCGTAGACCATACAATGCAAACAATGTTTGCAAATACTTGACTGTGGTTGACGATCTAAGCCAGTCGGTTGGGAAAAACCTATGTTACCTAGGCATGAAGAACAAACCGATGATGATTCATGGGTTAGCCCTTGATGAGGTCGGAGAACATGCCCGGATAAGTGAACCAAGTGACTATGTGACCCTTGTGTGTGATTGTGGCCTACAGAGTCAGGGCCTAAAGCCTCATCCATATGCCATCACATGACATGCATATCGATAGATCATTTCGGAAAGCCAGAAATCTATATTTTAGGGTGAAGCATATGCATGTGCGAGAAATCCCCCTATGCCACATAGAGTTGTGGTCACATCAGGTCTTGGTGACCTGGACTCATCTCAAGGGCAGGACCTGCAATCCACAGACTGTAATTGCAACCTCTTGACTCATCGACCAAACTTTGGTGACCCACTAATGAGCCCCTGCTTGGACTGTGAGTCATGGGAAATACTGGACCGGTTTGATATAGCAAGTGTGGTCCGTAGTCCACAGTTGAACGTATAGTGCGGTACGATTGTTGATTCAATTCCTAAACCATATTGATACATTTTCCATTAAATTAATTTACTTGTGTTTGTTTTGTGATAATGATTATTTTAAAATTATTATTTGAATTTTTATGAATCTTTGGCTATTTTATTTATACTTTTTGAATTTATAAAATTAAAGATATTGATCTTACAATATTTTAATATTCATTATCAATTATTTTATTAATTTTAAATGCATAAAAAAATAATCATGGGGAGTCATTGTGTACATGAGCCTAGCATGTTTCTAAAAGGTGGGGCCCACATGTGCCTCTCATGGATGGCATGCCCCACCTCTTACTATTTCTATTTTATGGAAAGTTTTGTTTTGTGGTCCATATAACTTTATGTTTTGGTAACTTTAAATTGTGATATATGGTCAAATTATGGATTGAGTATGTATTGACCATATATTGACTTAATATGGAAGGAGATATTGACTTGATATATACTTGATAGATTTTATAGAAAATATTTGTAAAGATATGCTATTTTATGAAATGCACAATATTTAATTAAAATTAATTTAACTTCTTTTCTATTGATTGAAAAATGGTTTAGGAAAGGGGGATAAGGGTTCATGCATCTTCCATAATGTTGATGGCCCATCTATGGAATGGATGACTCGGATCCCACAAGTCTTCTTGATCGACAGTTCATGTTCAATCTCACAAGAAGATGCAAGACAATAAAACCATAAAAAACCCTAATCTGGTTCAAGCCTAAAAAAAAATGATTGTCTCTACCCAAAATCTTTACACCTTATCTTTCTATCTCTCTTTCATGTTCGATATCTCTCTCCCACATTGTGAAAATGGGCTAAGGGATTAGGCTATAGAGTTCTTTTCTATCTCCCATCTCCCAACTATGGATTTATGATTAAGAGTTTTTGTTCGGGTTAGCAAAAAGAGAATTCATCTCTCTCAAATTAGGTTGCTAAGGGAATTTACTTAGGGTTTGAGTTTGTGATAAAAGAGGTTCATGTTCCATTGGTGTGGCTTGGCCTAAACTTGCTTCCCTGGTTTGAGATTAAAGCAAGAACGTCGATCCCGCGCCATCGGATGGTGGTGACTCGGTGTGGGGTGTAATAAGCTCGGTGGAGGCAATCTCCGGTACTCTATTTTTTTATTTCTTGCAATCTAATTTCTTTATTTTTTTATTATTTTCAAGCATTATGCATAGTTATTTCAATGACATCAAGTTTTAAGATCTTGGTTTTATTGCCATGTTGATTTTATTTTGAAGTATATGGTGTTATAATAAGACCACTTGTAAGTGATCTTTTGCCAAAACAAAAGAAGTGATATATATATATATGTGTGTATGTGTGTATAAGACAATTCCGTGGTAAAAAGATCACATATGTCTTTCTTTAAAAAATAACGTAAAATGCGATTATGAGTGGTGGTCATTGTATGAATACGTCAAAACTATTAAACTATAATTTTAATAGAAAAATTATGCAAAGATATCATACTTTTGATATAAGGAGGTTACAATCATCTTGTCCGTTAGATTTCCAATTTGGTAGTTGTAAGAGTGCCATTGACATTATTCAAAGCTCAAAAATAAATTTTTCAAACTTCTTGACACACCCCAAGCCATTCAATTTGACATCTAATGGCTAAGAGTAATTGTAACCTTCTTGGATAGAAGATATATGGTCTTATAGTATACAATCCGATGTTTATGCCCTTACCTTGTATCATTAGAGTCATACTCAACAAGTTTTTATCTAAATTTTCAATAAAGACAACAACAATGCTTAGTCTATTGCCACGACAAAAAATATATGATAGATTTATTAGGAGCATACAAGAAACAACAACAATACCAAATACATGAACTACATTAACAAACAACAAGCTCGAGGTATGGGATTATTGTTCGAAGAAAAAAAGAAAAAAAGACCCCCAATATTAGATTGTAATTAAATAAAATAATAAAAAACACACTAGTGGATTGCTATGTTGTATATCTTAATTAAATAAAAACATTGAGGAGGTCAAATTATTCAAATTTATGTATGCAAAAAAGAAAGCAATAAAATGGTTTAAAAAATCCAATTATTCAAAGTTCACCTTGAATTCTGAGCTGCCTAAACCTTTAATTCACTTAATATCTCCCTCTTGCTCACTATAATGATGCCCTGTGTTAAGAGAAAAAAAAGATTTTCATTTGGTTACTTCTTCTCTAACTGTAGCCTTTATCTTTTAGATGCATAGTTATTTTGATGGATTGCACTTTTTTTAAGATGAAAATTTTTAATGCAATTTTTTGTTAAATCAAGATACTTAATTGTCTCTTACTTTTAATGTGGTTATCTCTAAACTAAAAGTCAAAGATATTAAATCAATGAAGCATTAAAGTTATAAGGAAGAAGTTATTTTTTGAATTTTTTTAAAAAGTTAAAATACGGATATTGCTTCCCGTTAAAAAAAATTGTAAATTTTTGAAGATCTTTTGAAAGGCGAGAGTTCTTAACTGATGTCAAATAATCGAAGATCTTTTTAGAAAAATTCGTGCTTTAAAAGGAGACTTGCTAAGTATAGTGGGCGGGCACCCCTTTGTTGATGCGCAGGGTTGTTTTGGTCACTTTAGTTGGATTCTTTGGATCCTTCATTCGTACCATCAACCGTCGATTGACATCAGACTGAGATAGACGGTTCCAAAAGGGTCCTAGAGGCGCAAGCGGCCTCGAAACCTCACTATTCATAAACGGTTTCGGATCCGGTTGAAGAATTCAACGAATTGTAATGTAATTGGCGTCCGCCTTTCCAGAACCTTCACAGTGATCTCTCATATATAAATCCTTTCTTTACTCTTTTCTTCTCGTTTGTCTCTCTCTCTGTGTGTCGAGCAAATTTGGGTTTCACTTGTTATGGTGCGCTATCTATTTATTGATAAATCTTGTTTTATTCCTTCGAATTGGAGTTTTTTGTTGCAGGGGATTGATTGCTGTTTACGAAAAATTGATATTATGTTTTTCTTCAGTCAGATTAACGGTTTACATTTCAGTGATTTGGTTGTAGTTTATGAAAACTAGGGTTCGAAAATTAGGGTTGCTATTTCATTTTAGGGTGTGTGAGTTTTTCTTTATTATTCTTGTTATCTTTTGCTATGATTTTAGGTGGGCTAGTGTGATATATATATTGAATGATTTTGGATGGATGAGTGAGAATATTTTTGTCGCTATCAGT